ACATAAGGCCTTGATAACGTTTATTAACCTCAATATTAATCACTCTTGGAATTACTCGGCAATAAAAAATGGTAGATCTAAAACAATATATGCAACAAGGAAACGTCGATGTCATAATAATAGGTGAAACAATACGCAACGTTTCCTTATCATTCATTGATCGCTATACATACATATATATATATATATATATATATATATATATATATAAACAATAAGTTTTTAAAAAAAATATTGTCGACGTATATTATTATTTCGAGCTTTACATTTTTATATATTACAGTTTTATTTTTCTCTTCATTCCTCCTTGGCATCACATTTTAAACCTCGTGCTCACACAAATATAAATGGTTCTCTCGTTTTGTATCACTCATCTTTAATTTAATATCGTATCATTACGTCATAAAACAACGATGTCGTAATAATAAAGTTCGTAATTGTTTAAAAGGACAGCCTGGAAACTGCAAATTGCTTCAAATATCACATATTTAGAGTTTGCAATCCGATTTCACTGTTTCCAAGTGCAATATCATCTCATTACGATAATCTTGATATTGCCCGAAGGAGCGATGTGCAACTATACTGTTTTTAGAGAGCGAGCCTCTCATGAGGAGATAATTTTGATAAAAATCAATAAAATCACTTTTTTCGTATTATGATGAAATATGCCAATGTAATTAAAATTTACTCTTAAAAATTAACTTAAAAACACTAACTATTTTTTGTGTTAAGACTCTCTGGATTTTGGCATACCTTGAAAAGTTGTATTCATGTTGTAAATGAATAATCCTAAATGGTAAGTCAAGTCCCAATCGTTTAGTTATTCAATTTTATTCTGACAACGTCGTGTAGGAGGCACACTTTTTCCAGAATGAGTCCGATCCAGTTGTCTTTCCTTTTCAGGATCGTGCTCAATAGAGTTCTTTTCCGCCTGCTTTATTCAGCACTTTTCTATTGGTTATACTGTCTGTCTACTTTATCTTCTATTCGTCTCTAGCATCACATTTCGAACGTCTCCAGATAGTTTTTGTCGGTCGCTCATAGAGTTCATGTTTCTGATCCGTTCAGAGCTATGCTCCAGATATGTAGTACACTTTAGAGTGTAGTATATTAGTTAACAATTAGTTTTAAGATTTGAACCGTAGCATATATTATTAGAGATATAGACTGTTTTAATCTGATAAAAACATATAATCGTTAATTTCTCCATACGTTGCCTTGTGCTTGCCTTTTCCTTCGACTTGAAATGCGAGCAATAGGTAGGTACTCGTAGCCGCTTCAATATCGCTCCTCGCGATCGCCGAATTCACCGCTAAACATGCGGAGAACATCATAACAGCGGTTTACTGCTCGCTCGGGCTGTGTACTGTACTACGTACGAACGTTTTATATTTTATAGCTTCTCCAGGATAACATTTATCGTACATTGAAGGAGTAACGTGAATTATGCGATGCAATATCATTAAGAAGCAAAGTGCTACAGAACTTTTGCCTCGTTCATGTCGAAACTATAACGGAACGGAATTGTGTTAATTTAGCAATTATGTATAATGACCAGTTGAAGCTGCATTATTTATGCATAAGCATGCTGTAAATTAGCGAATTATTTGATTATGCCATGACTTCTTCCAATAAAAATTTCGATAGCCGTATTATTTTTTAATTTTTAATTGATTCGATTATGATAGATTGAAATATTCATATTTATCATCCGTTCTTTTACATTTTATCATTAACTAGTAGATTATGGCATTAATCTGTAAGTGTTAATTTTTCAATATTTCTTTTGAATAACTTATATTTCTAACGCCTTCATTTACATTAAAGCTTACATTCATCTGTAATTGCATTTTATTAAATTGTGTATCATTCATTAATTCACCGATGTAATATCCTAAAATACGTAATGTTGTTTCTGGATGACAAAGCATATAGAAATATTTTTTACGTTATAAAAACCGAATCCAATGGTT